GATGCGCTGTGTACTGAACCGCAAACGGACACCGAAAATGGGGGGCAGCCGCATGAATCATGGACGTTCGAGCAACGTCCATGACCATGCCAATGCGGCGCTCAGCAATCCCATTTTGTTGTGGAGAGGCCGGAAGCGTGAAGGTCTAGCGGATGCCCTGTGCTCGACAGAAGGCTCCCAGACGGGCAAAGGAAAACTCCCCGCCTCTGTTAGAGTGCAGACGCAGAACAGGAGAGTCTGAGCCAAAACTCTCCCTGAGCTGGAGACGAGCTGCGCGGATCCAGTCAATCAACACCTCAGAAACGTCACCCTTGCTGCGCAAGGGGAAGACTGTGGTGTAACGCTAGTATTCGTCAACCACCAACAGGAAGTAACGCTCGTGCCCCTGTCCACGGACGCGGGCGGGGCCCCACACGTCCATGTGGAGGGTCTGCAGCGGAGCCTCTGTCGGAGGAAACTCAGAGGAGTGAGGGGCGGCGCGCTGTCGCCCCTCGACGCACGGGACGCAGGTAGGGCCAGGCCTCGGAGGTAGGGGAGGGAGAGACCGGGGAAGACCAGAGACAAGGACACGGGAGGCCATGCCTCGAAGACGAGGCAGGGAGGGGTGACCAAGGCTGTTGTGCCAAAGGAGAGTCTGGTGGGACAGGAGACGACACGAGCAGGGAGCAGACTGAGGACCAGACCTGGACGCTGCAGCAAACACCTGACTCGACGCAGCTACCTGGCCTGACTCAGCAGCCGGAGGAGACTCAGTAGTAAGGGTGTACAGGCTCGACACTGGCCAACGTGTGAACGTGGCCAAGTGTCGGCCTGTCCGAGCACACGTGCAGTCGGTCACCCGCTGACTCGCATGAGTGAACTGGTCAACCCCGCTATCCTATAGGTCCGCTCTACTCACCTAGTTCGTAGAGAACGAGGGGAGGTAGAGACCGGACAGGGTGCCAGAGGGGGCTGCTGGGCACGGTAAGACAGTGGAGAAGCTAGCAAGGACAGGACCCCCAGAGGGGTCCGCCAGGGAGACTGCAACTAGCCGACTAAGCGCCGTAAGCGTGGTGCGGTCTCGAAAGAAGGAGCGGGACGCACCCGAGTCAAGGGTGAAGGTGTGTAAGGCCTGAGCCGACGTAGTACCAGAGAGAGCAGACTCACTAGCACCTCGGGCAGCAGACGCACTGGCACCTGGGGCAGCAGACGCACTAGCACCTAGAGCAGCAGCCTCACCAGCACCTAGAGTTGTAGCCTCAATGCCCGGGTCAGGCGGTACACACAGGTAACAGTCACCCTCAACACTAGTAGTCACAGCATACATGGCAGCAAGGATAGCATCATAGTCAAGATCAAGGATGGCAACCCCCGCCCTAGACAGATCTCCCCAGCGAGGGATCTCTGACGCCTCAGGGAACTGGTGACGCCACGCGTCCGTCAGGCGGCCGAAGCAGCGCTGGGTGGAGTGCGGGCCCCTGCACTGCTCACCAGCGCGGTCGCCGGTACGGAGGACGTAAGTGGAGGGACCAGTACCCCCACCGCGTTGACGCGCAGCGTACCACTCACGAAGCTGCTAAGGGGACAGGGTCTCACAACCGCGCTGCTGCTGCTGGCGCGGACCACCACCGGACCCACTCCTCTGCGCTGAGTCGCGACCAGCTCCACCGCCGCCGCCGCCACCGCCTCCGCCACCGCCGCCTCCTCCGCCACCTCCGCCGCCTCCGCTCCCTCCGCCACCACCGCCGCCTCCTCCGCCTCCACTGCTGCCACCGCCGCCGCCACCCCCGCCACCACTCCCACCACAACCCCCACTCCCTCCACTGCCTCCACCACCACCTCCACCGCCCCCGCTAGCCCCTCCAGCTCCCTTGCCCCCCTTGCCCTTGCCGGTGCGGCGTCTCCCGCTAGGGGCAGACGCAGCACCGACCCCGTAGAAACCAACGAGGTCGGCAGCAGCAGCAGAAGCAACAGAGAGCAAGAGGGGGGAGGGGGAACACCCCTCAAAGACGGGGGTGCGAGGGTCACCACGAGAGGCTCCTACAGCTACTATGCTCTTCTCTACTGCTAGGAGGCGCTCCTCGAGGAGGTCAACGATGAGAGTGGTGGGGCAAACTGAGAGGAATTGGTCCCTCACTAAGCGAAGAGAGTCAGGGAGCCGGGTGACTATGTAGTAGAGGGTGATGTACATGGGGGGGGGGGTTCTTTGCGCAGATTTCAGCATGAAGCGCAGCGCGGTAGTGAGTGTCACTAGTGCGGAGGTGCGTAATGAGGTCAGCGACTGTGGGAAAGGCAGCAAGGTCAGGGAAGAGGTATGGTAGCATGAGGCGGCTCAGTGCAGCAGTGGCAGGGGAAGAGTAGCGTGCAACTACAGCGTCGTACAAGGTCTGAGCACTCTTGTACTGGCTAAAGTGTGCACGCTCAGTGGTCGGTAAGTGGCGACGCACAGCAAGACGGGCAGCAGCATCGCGTGTGGCCCACTGTGAGCGAACAGTGCTATCAGCAGTAGCAGGCGGGGCAGGGGAGGCACCAGAGGTGAGGTCGAACAGAGAGAGGCCGTCTGCCCTATCGCACTGGAGGAATAGCTGGAGGTCATCGACCCAGACCTCAAAGTCAACAGCACGACCCTCAGTGTGAAAGGTAAGAACACTTGGGGAAGCCATGACTGCAGAGGTCTAGCAAGGAGTGAGCTCACCAGTACGAGTAAGTAGGGTCGGGGCGCGCCGGTAGGACTGGGAGCAGCTCGACGGCAGGGCGGCTCGGCGGCTCAGCTGCTCGGCTGCTGGGCGGCTCGGCTGCTGGGCGGCTCGGCGGTCGGGCGACTCGGCGGCTCGGCTGCTGGGCTGCTCGGCTGTCGGGCGGCTCGGCGGCTAGGCGGCTCGGCTGCTGGGCGGCTCGGCGGCTCTGCTGCTGGGCGGCTCGGCGGCTCTGCTGCTGGGCGGCTCGGCGGCTCTGCTGCTGGGCGGCTCGGCGGCGCTGCTGCTGGGCTGCTCGGTAGAGGCGGCGTCGGGGCCGCTAGGGGCAGCGACGGGGCCGCTTAGGGAGGGGAGCGGCGACGGGGCCGCGTAGTGGCGGCGATGGGGCCGCGTAGGAGGCGGCGTCGGGGCCGCTTAGGGGCGGCGACGGGGCCGCTTAGGAGCGGTAGTGGGGCCGCTTAGGGGCGGCGACGGGGCCGCTTAGGGGCGGCGACGGGGCCGCGTAGGGTGAGAGGCGGCGACGGGGCCGCTAGGGGCGACGACGGGGCCTCTTAGGGGCGGCGACGGGGCCGCTGAGGGTGAGAGGCGGCGACGGGGCCGGTAGGGGCAACGATGGGGCCGCTAGGGGCGGCGACGGGGCCGCGTATGGGCGGCGACGGGGCCGCGTAGGGTGAGAGGCGGCGACGGGGCCGCTAGGGGCAGCGACGGGGCCGCTAAGGGCGGCGACGGGGCCGCGGAGGGGCGGCGAGGGGGCCGCTAGGGGCGGCGACGGGGCCGCTAAGGGCGGCGACGGGGCCGCGGAGGGGCGGCGACGGGGCTGCGTAGGGGCGGCGACGGGGCCGCGTAGGGTGAGAGGCGGCGACGGGGCCGCTAGGGGCGGCGACGGGGCCGCTAATGGCGGCGACGGGGCCGCTAGGGGCGGCGACGGGGCCGCTAGGGGCCACTAGGGGCCTGGAAAGGGCGGCGAAAGGCGCGCCTCGGGCAGGAGCGACTGGCGCTCCGGTCAGAAAGGAAATTTTCAGTGGTGGGCCCAAGGAAGCGTTCCCACTAGGGAACCTGCTCTATATCATGTGAAGAATGAGGAATGAATGAACTAGCACAAGGTTGGGTACAAGTAGGAAACCCTACTAAACTGTACCCGATAGTGTCTACCCCACTATAGCCTACAGAAGCTATATAATGAGTTTGACATGGGTTGCACCCCATATGGGCTACCCCCCACTACAGCCTACACAATAAGCAGCATATAAGTTGGACAATACCATGCTGCAATCAGAAAGTATACCGTAACCAGGATCACCTCAGGAAGGTTCGCACAAAACGTGTGGTAGTGGTGGGCCCTTAACCTCAGATCAGAGTGAATATATAATGACTGAGATAAATAAAGCATGCAAATACATTCGTATAAATATGAGGGTACATTCCGCTGTGGACACATGTCCCAATCGATGTGTCCCAATCGAGTGTACCGCTCCGAACCGAACTGAACCAGAGACGCGAAAATTTCGAAACTAGGGTGCAATTTGGTGTAATACGATGCAGTGCGGTAGAAACGATTGGGACACATCGATTGGGACGTGTGTCCACAGCGGAATGTACCCTGAGTACAAGGGGAATACCAAACGTCCTAGCTAGCCATGTACTTTAAGGGGTACATTCCCTTATTCGAATTTAGACCCAACCGTGCGGCACATACAGTTATGAAACTGTTCCCGCCTTTTTCCTCTCTCCTGCAGCTGCCGTATGTTGTCAGCTCCGTTGGTCCAGATGCTTCGAAATTTCGCCTTCGTACTCTCTTCTGTGTTCTCCGTTCTTGCTACAGGTAGGAATGCACAGTGCATCTTTTCAATTTGCTATTCGTAACACCAAGGCTGATGGATTAGCCTGGTCCAAAACGAATCTAAGGGCCTAATTGTAACACACTTTATCATGCTTCTGCAACGTGGGCTGCGGAAACGTACACGTAACTTTGTTTAGATCAGGCTTGTAAAATCACTTCATAAATAAATCCAAAATAACCCAAATACCGTATTCAGATTCAGACCATTTGAATGAAAAATTGCATATCAGACTAGCAGACCATAGGATTGTAATCTTTTCCATAGTGCGGATGCGGGTGCTTTCTCCTGTCAACATCAAGTTCGACGAATTAAAGGCCACAGTCTCGTCGGCTCGCCTCGGTTTAGTCTAGGCAGGAAAGCAGGCAGCATCCCACATGAAGATCGCCTCGCTGACGTAGCGGGCGGCATAGCGTAGCGAGGAACGTAGCGGGCGACGTAGCGTAGCGAGGACGTAGCGGGCGTCGTAGCGAGCGACGCATGAGCGATGGGTAACCAGGTGGTGATCGCGAAGGCGGCGGCGGGCGTGGCGTCGGACTACTGGGTACACGACCTGCCGCGCGGCGTGGTGCTCAAGGACGTGTTGGCGCCGGGCCGCTTCCTCAAGACGCTCGACTGCTTCCACCACGAGGGCCGCGTCATCGTCAAAGTCTTCCTCAAACGCGCCGACCTCAACCTCCCGCTGCAGGCCAGTCGTCCCCGCGCCTTCCTGCTGCCACTTCCGCGTTACAGGCGCAATTGAATCTTTCCGTGCTGCAGTTTCGTAAGCTGCCGTCGCAGGCGAGTGAGAATGAGCGGGTTATGGGGAGAGAGCGGCGCTCGGGGAAGGCAACAGTGGATGACGGGGAAGGCCTCAGCGCCACGTGCCTCTCGAGCGGCTAGAGTGCCTTCCCCACCTCACAAGAAGCGACATCGCCGCTGGGCAGGCACCCCGTGCGCTCGCCACGGCTGTTGACAGCGGCAACTGCATGGCCTCCTTATCCCCATCCCATCCCATGCTGCGCCCTCCCATGCGCTCTCCCCTGCGCCCTTATCTGCGCCGTCCCCTGCGACCTTATCTGCGCCCTTACATGCGCCCTTGCACTCTTACCTGTGCCCTCCCCTGCGCCCGCCCGTCTTTCCCCCTCTACCAGGCGTACGAGCAGCAGTTGAAGGTCATTCGCCATCGCCTCTCAGGCATCGACAAGTCGCACGTCTGGCCCTTCCAGGTGCGCCCTGCCCTTCCACGTGCGCCCTGCCCTTCCACGTGCGCCCTGCCCTTCCACGTGCGCTTATGCACCACCACTGCCACATGCCGCATGCACCATTGTCCCATCGTCTTTATTTCCTGCCACTACCCACCCTTCGTCTCCACCAATCCGTTTCTGACGATTCAGCCTCGTCCCCCGCTGCCATCCGCTTGCGTATTCCCTTCCACGCTGCTTCCAGTTCTCTGGTCCTCTCTCTCACCCCTCCCCCTGGTCTGTCTGCTCCGCCGCCCCCTGCCTCGGGCAGAAGTGGTACGAGACGGAGAGAGCAGCGTATGTGCTGAGGCAGTACTTCTTCAGCACGCTGCACGACCGCCTCGGCACGCGCCCCTTCCTCGGCCTCACCTTCAAGAAGTGGATCGCCTTCCAGGTAACCCTGCGCCCGTGCATGTGACCTCGCCTTCCAGGTAACCCTGCTCCCGTGCATGTGACCTCGCCTTCCAGGTAACCCTGCTCCCGTGCATGTGACCTCGCCTTTCAGGTGCGCCGGATCAAGTGCTGCTCTTTCCCGCCATGAGAAGGTAGTTTTGCTGTAGACTGTATCATACAACGAGTCTTTATTTTTCTATTCATTCATCCGCTGCCCGTCCTCCTTCTCGCCCCACCTCACCTCTCTCTCCCCTCCTGCAGATCCTCAAGGCGTTGGACCAGGCGCACTCACGAGGGGTCTGCCATGGTGCGCCCTCCGCCAACCCCTCCCTCCTCCCTTCCCTGCCCTTCCCCGCCGCCCCCTCCTTCCTCCCTTCCCTGCCCTTCCCCCTCACTCGTCACTACTGCTCACTGCGCTGCCTCTCTGTTCGTATCCCGCCTTTTTCCTCGCTATTCCCCTCCTGGTAGTGCTCCTTTTCCTCATGACGTTCTGCTATCCTTTGCCCCCACCTCTCATGTCAGTGCCACCACTCGTTCCATGCGCCTCATGCCCTCCCACCCCTCATCTGCATGCTTGCAAAGCCACCATCTGCATGCTTGCAAAGCCACCTCCCTCTCATTCACGCATCCACACCTCCCCCTCACCACACCTACCTTCCGTCGCCACGCACGTGGAACAATGAGCACACACTGTACGGTGCACGTGATGGCATCACCGTCTGCTTGCTTGCCCTCTGCTCAACCCCATTTCCATACCAATTTCTCACTCTGACACCCCCGCCCATGCAATTCAAGGTGGAAAAGAAAGAAAACGAATGCCTTTCGTAAAGAAAAAGAAGAGAAAGTAAAGGCAAATTGATCCATCCTGCTCCATGCGCTCATCCCATGCTCCTCTATTGCGGTGCATGGGGGGGGGCGGGGCGGGCAGGCGATCTGAAGGCGGACAACGTGTGTGTGACGGCGTGGAACTGGGTGCACGTGGTGGACTGGGCGCCCTTCAAGCCCGTCCTCATCCCCTCCGACAACCCCGCCATCTTCTCCTTCTTCTTTGATACCGCCCCCTCCGGCCGCCGCCGCTGCTGCATCGCCCCTGAGGTGCGCCCCCCCCGTGGCCACTCCCTTCCATCCACGCTGCTCCCGCTCACCCACCCAAACCCAGGCTTGCCCTTTCCCCGTTGTCACTCCCTCATTAAAACCCCTGGGAACTGCTTTTGAAACAATACAAAACAATGCAAGTACAAATGTGAGACAGCAGTAGTCTAGCTGTAGCACACGCTCTCGTACTTTGCTCTTTGTCTGGCAGTGCCATGCCCCCGGCAACACACATGGCGCATGTGCCTTTGGATCGACATGTTCTCACGTGGAAGGTGTGGTGTTGCATGCATGTGCCGTGGGGTGTGTGTGAATCGATGGCATGACATGGCATGGCATGGTACGGCACGGCATGAATTTATGGCATGGCATGGCAGCGGTTTGTGTCGGCGAGTGAGTGGAGGCAGAGGCAAAGCGAAGGGGAGGGCGGAGTGGGGGGGGCACAGCTGCAGCCTGCCATGGACATTTTCTCCGCAGGGTGAGTGCTGCTCTTGGCGGGTTTGAGTGCTGCTCTCTGCAAGGTCACCTGTGTCTGTTCTTGCTAGTTCTGAGGCCACAGCGGAGGAAAAGGGTGAGGGTATGGGTGTGAGGGTGGCAGGTAGGGTAAATTCCTGCTGCACATGCCTGTTGGAGTCAACTCCTCCCCGGGCCTCACCTAGCCCGTGCCTGCCCTTCCGTTATCTGCACTGCTCTTGGGTCGAACCTCGCTGCTGCCTCATTCTCTCTTCCTCACCTCACCCCACCCTCCCCTTGCACGCGTGTCCCTGGCAGGTGTGTGATAGCGGAGATGTTTCTGGACGGCGATGTGCTCTTCGACCTCTCCTCGCTGCTCGCCTATGTGCACGGCTCCTACGATCCCCTCCCTGTCATCGACCGGGTATGCCCCACCGCCCCCAGCGACCACGTATTCCCCAGCGGCTATTCACCACGCATACAGGTTGGGGGTGATGCGCGTGTCTTCCACGGCATCCTCTACACTCCCCTCCCTGCTGCCCTGGCAGGCTGCACGCACGCACGCACACACACAGAGACACGCACGCGCACGCGCACAAGAACTCACACACACGCACGCGCGCATTCCCACCCATCCCCCCCCCCCCCCCACCCCCCCCCCCCCCCCCCCCACACACACACACACACACACACACATATGCCTCCCGTTTTTCTCACGCTCACCTTCCCCCCTCAGTGGGGGTCCTGGTGCTGCACATGGTGCAGAGCAGACAGTCCTCTTGCAGCGTCCGCCACCCCGTGGGTCATGTGCTGCCCATGCCTGCCAGTTCTTGTGCTACTCCATGTGTCGTGTTGGTCCGCTGCCGTGCCTACCCCCGTGCCTACCCCCGGGCCTACCCCCGTGCCTACCCCCGGGCCTACCCCCGGGCCACCGCAGATCCCGTGCCCATCAGTGCGCGCCCTGGTGGCGCACATGGTACACACGGACCCCGCGCAGCGCCTGCCAGCAGCCGCGTACCTCACGGCGTTCAGCGACCCCCACGGCGCCGCGCTCTTCCCCCACCCCGCCTTCGACGCCCTGCATGACGAGCTCTTCTGCCACCTGCCCGCTATGGACGCTGATGGCCGGGTAACATGGGGTGGGGGGGGGGTTCATGTGATGGTGATGGGGCAATGCGGTGATGGGTTTGTTCATGCGGTGGATCCTTTCTACCAATGAAATGAAGAACCTGATTTATGCCCGCCGTTGACGTGCGTCTCCTTGAGCCATGGACGCTGATGACCGGGTGCAGTGGGGTGGTGTCATGATGATGCGGTGGGGTGATGGGAGTGCGGTGATGGGAGTGGGGTGATGGGAGTGGGGTGATGGGAGTGGGGTGAAAGGAGAGGAGTGATGGTGAAAGAAAAGAACTATTAGTGATAGCTCAAGAACAGATGGGAGTGGGGTGGTGATGGTGGTAAGATGCACCTGCTGCTGCTGCTGCTGCTGCTGCTGCTGCTGCTGCTGCTGCTGCTGCTGCTGCTGCTGCTGCTGCTGCTGCTGCTGCTGCTGCTGCTGCTGCTGCTGCTGCTGCTGCTGCTGCTGCTGCTGCTGCTGCTGCTGCTGCTGCTGCTGCTGCTGCTGCTGCTGCTGCTGCTGCTGCTGCTGCTGCTGCTGCTGCTGCTGCTGCTGCTGCTGCTGCTGCTGCTGCTGCTGCTGCTGCTGCTGCTGCTGCTGCTGCTGCTGCTGCTGCGGGTGCGGGTGCTGCCGGCATGTGGCATGTGCAGCAGCAGCTGGGTGTATTGGGGGCCATGGTCTCAAGCGACAACTCCTCGCGCATGGCTCAACTCCTTCCACTTCCCTCCCACTCTCTCCTCCGCCCTGCCTCACCTCCTCCCCCTTGCCCCAGATCGCCCTCACCCGCCAGCTCTACCCGCGCCTCTCTCGCATCATTGCTTCCTCGCTGCACGGGGGTGGGGAGGATGCTGAAGAGGAGGGAATTGGGAAGGGGGCGGGGGGGGAAGGGTAGCGCTGGGGAGGCAGTGAGTGGGGAGAGTGGAGTGTTGGGAAGGGGGGATGGGGAGCAGGGTGGTGAGCAGGAGGTTGCAGCGGAAGGGGGTGTGGAGGGGTGTGGTGAATTGAGGGGGGATGAGGAGGGCGATCGTTCTGAGAAGGTGCTAAGCAGTGCGAGGGAGAAAGATGAGAGCCTGCAGGGCAGCAGCAGCAGCACCGGGTGTGATGTTAGTGTAGGCGATGGCACAGGTGGTGATGGCGTGGGGAGGGGCGACATCATGCGTGGCACTGAGAGAGGCGAGGCAGCTGGGAGAGGTCCAACATGTGGGCCACGCACCACAGCCGCACGGGGCCGTGCGAGTGAGGGCACAGGGGGCGGTGTGGGCAACAGCGGCAGCGCCATGGTGCTGCTGGTGGGGCTGCTCACGGCCTGCCTGCGCAACGCTCGCCTGCCGCACTCACGGCGCCACTGCCTGCTGCTGCTGCACGCAGCAGCACAGCACTGCTCGCACGCGGTGTGTCTGCAGGCTGTGGCGCCCTTCCTGGTGGCGGTGCTGGCCCCGGACGGGCTCACGGCCACGCCGCTGCACGCCCTCGACACGCTCCTCCCCGGCGGGGCTGCCAGCCCGCCCCTCGTGCGCTGCACCGCGCTCACCGTGCTCACGCGCCTGCTGGCGCGCGTGCGCTGCTTCCCCTCCACGGACGCGCGCTTCTTCCCCGAGTACCTCTTCCCCTCGCTCTCCCTGCTCCCCCGCTCGCCCGATGAGACTGTGCGCGCCACGCTCGCCCTCTGCCTGCCCTCCCTCGCTGCCTCCGCGCTGCGCTTCTTGCTGCTCCCCGCAGGGGCCACGTGCGCCACTGGGGGAAGCGAGGGGGAGTCCGGGCAGGGGGCGAATGAGGGAGAGAGGAAAAGCAGCAGTACAGCATGGGAGGAGTGGGGTGGTGGAGAGACGGATGGCGACAACGACAGCAGCAGTGGCATGCCGGGGTTCTCCTTGGCAACCTCCGGCCTGCCGCCGTCCCAACGAGTCAGCAGCTGTGCCACGCTCACCTCTCTCAAGGCGCTTGCAGCGGCAGCGGAGCGGCTGGCAGAGCAGCACATGGGAGAGCTAGCGGAGGTGAGGGAGGCGGTGCGAGTGGCGGTGGAGGAGCTCTCCACGCTGCCCCGCAGCACGCCCCCCATCCGCCTCTCCCTGCTGCACCACGCCCCCTCCCTCGCTGTCTTCCTCGGTCCCCCCCTTGCCACCACTGCACTGCTCCCCCTGCTCATCACCTTCCTCAACGACCCCTCCCCCCGCGTGCGCGCTGCCTTCTTCCACACGCTGCCCGCGCTCTGCCCGCATGTGGCCCCCTCCGCACTGCCTGCCTTCCTCCTGCCGTGCCTCGAGCAAGCCCTGGGGGACACCTCGCATTCGTCCGTGCCTGCTGCTGCTGCCGCGTGCCTGGCCCAGCTCGTGCGCTCCCAGCGCCTGCAGCAGCGGCGGTGGCTGCTGTCAGCCGCACGCCATGCAGCGCCGCTGCTCAGGCACCCTGAGGGGGACGTGAGGGGCGCTGCTGTGGCGTTTGCAGCGGCTGCAGCGGGTCTGCTGTCGGCTGTTGACGCCCACGCGCTGCTGCTGCCGCTGCTCTCCCCCTCCCTGCGCTACCGCCCTGCGCTGCTCACCTCCCCCGCCTCCCTTGCTGCTGCGCTCAAGGCGCCCCTGTCTACCCACCCTGCTTTGCCGCCCCAGCCACCCCTCCCAGCGCAAGCAGGTGTGGCGTCGTGGCAGATGAGTGCAGGGCAAGCAGTGCCCGACCTCCGCGTGCCGCATGCGCTCTCGCCTGCTGCTGCGCGCGAAACGGAGGCTGGCCGTGCTGCTGCAGGTGCGCGTGTGAGTGTGGGCGAGCATGGTAGCAACAGAGGAGTTGGTGCAATGAGCGGCGAGGATGAGCAAGGTGCAGACACGGGAGCAGTGGGCCGGGGGGAAGGAGGCGCAGCAGACATGCAAGGGAAGCGGTCGGTGGGGCAGGAGGAGGGGAGGGACGTGGCGATGGGAGGGCAGGCGGCGAGTGGGCGAGCAGCAGCAGCAGCAGCACAGCACGTGGCCTCGTCGACACTCGCTCACTCCCTCTCCATGCAATATGCTGTGCCCCCCGCACACGGAGCAGCACCAGCAGCGCCATACCCAGCCATGGCTGCTGCGCTTGCCAGCATGCGCACCGACACGGGGCAGCCCTGGCCGCCCCTCCCCTCCACTGCACCATGGCCTGCCACCACTCACTCGCCTGCTTCCACCGCTCACTGGCCCTCCACACCCCTCCACACTCCCCTGCCTGCCTCTGCATCTCACTCTCTCCTCGTCCCCCCCCTTCCCCCTCTCCACCCCTCCATCTCCCCACTCCACCCTGTTCGATTCCCATCCCCTCGCCCCGCATCCTCCCCACTCTCGCTCTCCTTGTCCTTCCACCGCCCCCCTCCTCCCCTCACCGTCCACCCGCCCTCCGCTCTCCCCTCCTCCACCACTCGCCAACCCCTTTCCACACACTCTCTCGCTCCCATCCACCTTCCCCTTGCTCCCTCTCTCCCGTCTCTCCCCTCTCCCTCGTCACACCCCTCACCCCACTCCCCATCGGTCTCCTTCTCTCTCGCCCCTGCCAGCCCACACGCACAGTCCCACCCAGCCTTGGATCTGCCACCCCTCGCGGTGCCGCTCTATTCACTCGCCCACCCCGCCACCGCCCTGCCCACTGCACCCTCCACCTCTGCGCTTCCCTCCACCACCCTCTCTCCGCCCTCCCTGCCTCGCCCCCCGTCAGCACTCTCACCCTCCGCCTCACCCACTGCCACTCTTGCCGCTGCGGCTGTCACTGCGGCTGCTGCAGCCTCTGCGGGCGGCACAGGGCAACCCACTCTGGACGCGCTGGCAGCCGCACAAGCTGCCACTCTTGCCGCTGCTGCTGCCCCACTGCGTGCGCCTGCCTCACCATCTGTTCCTGCTACCGCGACACTCTCTTCCTCCTGCTCGCATGCCACATCTCTGCCTGCTGTAGCACCCAGCAGTCCTGTTGTGGGGACATGCGAGCAATCCACTGCTGCTCCTGCTGTGAGCTCCACTCATCCACCGGCACCTCACCTCTCATCGCCCGCTGATCTCCCCTTTGCCTTTGACTCGCTTGACGACCTCCCCTCTCCCCCCCCCACCTCCTCCGCTCTCTCCACCTCCCACTCTGCCTCCCACCCGTCCCTGCCACCACCCACCACGCCACATGCCGCCACCACGCCCACCAGCACCCCAACGTCACTCCCACCCTCTCACGCCCTCCCTCCTCACACAGGCCCTCTCCTCCCCCACACACTGCGCGGCCCCCCTCCCCCCCCTCCGCCCCCCGCGCCGGTGTCGCACTCACTGGTGTTCCTGGGCACCACGCAGCCCCACACCCGCATCTCCTCCCTCTCCCTCTCCCTCCGCTCCTCTCGCCGCCCCCCCTCCTCCTCCACCCTCCGTCCCTCCGCCTCCCCGGCTCGGCATACCCTCCCCCCTGCCGTGCCTGCTGCTGGACCTGCCACCATGTGTGCAGCAGAGGCTGGGCAGGGAGGCAGAGCAGAGGACGAGATGGAGAGACGTTTGCCTGCGGCAGGCAGGGAGGGTCACACAGCGGCCCTACTGGAGAGGCCGAGGGCGTTAGCTGGTGGTGGTGCTGGGGGCGAGGTGTCACCACGTGCAGCAAGTCAAGCTCAATCATCCGTGGATGATTGTAGTGCCGCCCATGTCAATGCCACGTCATCTGCCACGTCTGCATCTCCACATCTCGTGGAACCAGGTGGGGTGGGTGCGGGGAGCACGGGACATGCACAACTGCCAGCAGCAGCACAGGTAGCACCACCATCAGCAGCGGGTCAAGCAGCAGGCGCAGAGGCAGAGGAGAGCAGGGAACGTAGGGCAGCAGCAGTGAGCGGGGAGGTGCAGAGGCTGCTGGGGTGGGGCAGTGCGGACGACGGTGCCGCCATGGCTCTGCTCCCCGCATCCCCCTCGCTGCTCTCCACCACAGCAGCAGCATGGCGGCCGCGCGGGGTGCTGGTGGCGCAGCTGCACGAGCACCGGGCGGCCGTGCCCGCGCTGGCAGTGGCGGGCAACAGCCAGTGGTTCGCCACTGCCTCGCATGACGGCACTGTCAAGGTGTGGGACGCCACTCGCCTTGACCGCGGTACCGCTTTTCGTTCCAAACTCACGTACGCGCCGGGGGGAGCAGCAGTGGCAGGGGCAGGGAAGGCGACTGCGGTGGCGGTGATGGGGGACAGTGCGACAGCAGCGGTGGGGTATGCGAGTGGGGAGGTGCATGTGGTGCACGTGGACTATGCGCCGCGCTTCCTCTCCTCGCCCGACTCCTACCGCTGCATCACTCGCATGGCCTCCCTCGAGCCCGCCTCTTGGTCTTCCCCCTCCAGCCACGCCCCAGGTGCGGCAAGAGGGCCCATCCTCTCCGTGCACTCGTGGGCGGCTTCTACCCTGGGCGCCACCCCGCCCTCCCTCTCTGCATCCTCCTCCTCGCTCTTCTCCTGCAACCCCCTCTCCTCCTCGCACGCACTCCTCCTCGTCGCCTCGCTGCATGGCGGCATCACCCTGTGGGACATGCGAGCTGCCCGCCCCGCCTTGTCGCTGCACCTGCACGCGGCACTGGGAGCGCCCACCCACGTGCTGCCCGACCCGCACCACGGCCTGTGGCTGCTCGCCGCCTCCTCCTGCTCCGCGCTCTGCCTCTGGGACCTGCGCTTCCTGCTCCCCCTCTCCTCCTGGCGCCTCCCCTCCGCCCCCTCCGCGCCCCACCCGCCCCCCATCACAGCACTGGCGCCCATGCTGCCCGCGGCCTTTCCCCCCGCAGGGGACGCTATGGGGGCAGCGGCAGCAGGCGGGCCGGAGCACCTGCCAGGGTGGTTTGGGGCGGACCGCGGGAGCGCAGCAACAAAGGGGGCAGTGGGGGCGGCAGGGGGTGGGGCAGCAGCAGCGGGAGCAGGGGGGGCAGTGGGGGGGGCGTCACGGCCTCTGGTGTATGTGGCGAGTGGCAGGGACGAGGTGGGGCTGTGGAGTGCCGACACGGGGCAGTGCCACCAGGTATGAGTGCCACTTGCCACACTGAACCATGGTGCACCCAGAGCAAAGGTCCAATCCGTGTGCCGTCATTCCGCGCTCATGCTTCAGCGCTGTACTCCTTCACAAGCACACATGGTGGCACCACACCTTGCTTGCACCGCACCCTCACCTGCGTGTGCCCCCGTCCTCTCTCCCCCTCCCCCAGGTCTTCTCCGTGGCCCCCCAGCCCTCCTCCAGCACCGCTCCCCCTCCCTCCCTGCCCTCGCGCTCCAACCTCCCCACCGCTCTGCAATCCCGCCCACACCTGCTGCCGCTGCCACCCTTCTCCACCAGCACCACCACGCCCTCCGGCCGCATGCTCTCCTCCTCGCCCTGCTTGCCCAGCGGCCCTCTGCCCCAGTCAACACAGTCAACGCAGTCAAGCGGGGCAAGTGGGGCAAGGCAGGCAAGGCAGTCGTTGCTGCGGGTGGAGCAGCTGAAGGAGCCACCGGGCAGGGCGGGGGGGGTGAGGGCGCTGCTGGGAGTGCCGGGGGGCGGTGCGCTGCTCACAGCCGGCACTGACTGCTGCATCCGCTACTGGTGCCGCCTCAGGTGATGCTGCTGCCATCTCAGGTGGTTGCCGTCTCAGGTGATTGCTGCTTCACGTGATTGCCACCTCAAGTGTTTGCCACCTCAGGTGATTACCACCTCAGATGATGCTCTGCTGGTGGCCCGTGCAGGGTACACTGCAGGTGATGCTCCCTGTGTCCACTGCCACAGCTCTGTATCCATTTCCTCACTCTTCCCCCCCCCCCCCCCTCCTCCTTCCCCCGCGCCTCCTTTCCTCGCGGGCGAGAGGGCAGGCCGGAGCAGAGTGGGTGGGTGAGCGGGCCCACAGCCAGGGGGGCGCGGGGAGAGGTGCTGCACCCGCGCTACGACATGCGCATCGTGCACGGCGCGAGAGTCATTCAGGTGCGTGCACTACCTGCCTGCCTCCCTTGCACTGCGTTCCCATCCACTGGTTGCTGCAAACACCATTCTCACTCCCACTTGTCTTCCACTCGGTTCATCCCATCCGTCCAACGCCACCCCCTCCCACACCTCGTCCATCCTGCTGCACCCACCGCAGGAGACCCCGCCCCCCTTCTACGTGGATGCGGCGCGGCAGCGAGGCAGCGGTACGGGCGCCTCCACTCCACAAGCAGGCGGGCGGGCAGCAGCAGGCAGTCAGGGGCACGCGGATACAGGCCCGGGAGGGGCAGCGGGAGGAGGTGGAGGGGCAGGGGGAGGGGGGCGGCGCAGCATGGTGGAGGTGGCAGCGGTGGATGTGGGGGGGTGCCACCGCGATGCCGTGCTGGCACTGGCCGTGGCGGACCCGGGACAGCGCCTGCTGCTCTCTGCCAGCCGTGACGGCGTCGTCAACGTCTGGCGCTAATACCCCCACCTGCCCTGGACTACATCCAAGGGAGAGGCTTGTGTACAGATAGTAAAGCAGGCATTTGAGGGATGATGGTAGTGAATAGAGGTGATTCATCTATTTTGCGTGAAGATTGTAAGATTCCAGTATGTGTGCCTTACTTAGCGTCTCGTGTATATCGATGCCCTTTGTACAATAGCAAGGAGGTAGGTTAACATTGGTGTCCATAATGGCAAGCAATCTGTTCCAAGTTTGTTCTGGAAATGTTTGAGCACGATTCCAACCTTACATGTGAAATGTGGGTCCTCACAGGGATAAGCCGGAATAAAAGACCGTTGGTCTGGAAAGACGACAGAATTCATTCTAAGCTACCCTCGATAGAGCCTTTTACTTCGATTCAGACCCAAATGCTGGTTCCCAAGGGTTTTCCAAAGCCAGATATGCTGCAGAATATCTTCAAAGGTGGTCCACACGTGTTTCACTATTTGAGACAATGTTTGAAAGGGACCTTTGGCTCATAGCTTCTACCTGGTCATGGATTGATTGAGTTGCTCAACGCAACGCCTAACAGCGGGTACCTCGGATGTTTCAAAGTTTGAATCTCTCTCCAGCTTCACCATGACGCCTCGTCGCACAGTCTGCCACGACACATGCAAGAACTGTTCTCGACATTGAAAACTCATCGACTGGAAGTTGAGTTGACTCGTATTGAGCTAGGTCGTTAGGGCGTGGTGAAAGTGACGATCTCGGGAGGATTGATTGCCTTCGATATCGTTTTATTATGGCGTCGGAGTAGGTTATGTAGTTTTAGATGCAATACGCGTGATTACAGTGCGGTGGTGGTTCGATACTTGAAGTCATCGATCGACACTTTTACCACGCCCTTAGTCGCGCCTTATTATGGCGTCGGAGTAGGTTATGTAGTCTTAGATGCAATACGCGTGATTACAGTGCGGTGGTGGTTCGATATTGGAAGTCATCCATCGACACTTTTACCACGCCCTTAGTCGCGCCTACCTTCGTGTCGTAAGCGGGCAGAATTGGTAGAAATTCCGGAGCGCCTGGAGCGTCCGTCGCCCCAGTGTCGCTTAGACACTGCTCCCACGGTGTGTGCGAGCGTGGCCACGTCGGTCGTGATCCAGGGCCGACGGAATCGACTCCGCACATAGGCGAGTGCGCTCCAGCGGTATGGAGAGAGCACCGATTAAGGGACCTCTGCGGTCGCACATGAAAGAGAAGGTCCGTTCGTATCTTTCTCCAGAACTCGCACAGCAATGCGATCCTCCTCTGCGCACTCACCCTAACAACCACTCATCTCCTCACCCCCCCCACCCACACCCCCCCCGCTCGCAGCTGCGCGTCATGTGTCTGCACCGCGTGCGCGCCAATCGCGACCGCCTGCTCTGGGACATGCGCGCGTCTGCTTCCCCTTCCGCCTCCGCGCACGTGCCCCTCGCCTTATATTCCGCCATCCACTCCCCGCTGTCCCCCAGCTCCCTCTCGCTCTCCAAACCACAATCGCGCACCTCAGCCTCCTCCCTCTCGTGCTCTCACTCCCTCTCTCACTCCCACTCGCCCTCCTCGCTCTCCCAGCCTGCTGTCTCCTCCGCTCCCTCGCCCTCTTCCCTCGCCGCCCTCCACCCTCTCCTCTCCGTCCAACCGCACCCAGCCACGTCAGCAGCGCTCGCGTGCATGGGCGCGCAGCAGCCGGGGGGGGCAGCTCGAGCGGAGTCGGGGGGACAAGCAGACGCGCGAGTACGCAGTGAGGGCGGTGAGCGCGATGAGGGGATGGTGCGCGGTGGGGAGGGTGAGCGCGGTAGGGAGGGTGAGAGCGATGGGGACGTGCGAAACGGCGAGCGGATGGAGGGCGTGGCGATGGGCGAGCGCGGAGAAGGGAACGGGCACGCAGGCTCTGGCGGGGATTCTGCTTGGCAGAACGAGGGGTCGAGGGGGGCGCAGTTGGACTCGGCGCACGGGATGGGCGCGGAGGGGCGAGGGGCGCGGCCAGAGCTGCGGAGAGTGCTGTTTGGGGAGCTGCAGCGGTTGCGAGGCGGATGCGATGATGTCAGCTGTTCTGGTGGTGGTGGTGGCATGGGGCACGCCAGAGCGCTGGAGCACGACACGGAGTTGCATGATGCGATGGCAGGGTGGGGCGAGCACACAGTGTGCGCGTGGGATCATGAATGGCCCTCGTGTGACCCGATGCACAATGGGGGCGACGGGGCAGGGGAGGTGGGACGCGGGGTGAGGGGGCGAGGCGAGTGGGACAGCGATGAGGAGGCAGGTGGGCGGTGGGAGGATGCGGATGGCGTGTTGCAGCTGAGCGCAGACGAGTACGAGGCGCTGCTGCTGGACATGCAGACGGCGCTCTATGAGGATGCTGATGATGCCCAGCCGCCACCCCTCCCCTCGGGTATGTGATGCGCGGTGCCGTGGTGTGCTGCTGCTGGTCATGCAGAGAGCGGTGTATGAGCATGATGATGCCCACCTGGATCATGTAGTGGGGGGGGTGACTGGCGTGTTGCGCGTGTGTGATCCGGACCCAACACAAGGTTGGTGATCCGGACCCAACACAAGGTTGGTGATCCGGACCCAACACAAGGTTGGTGATCCGGACCCAACACAAGGTTGGTGATCCGGACCCAACACAAGGTTGGTGATCCGGACCCAACACAAGGTTGGTGATCCGGACCCAACACAAGGTTGGTGATCCGGACCCAACACAAGGTTGGTGATCCGGACCCAACACAAGGTTGGTGATCCGGACCCAACACAAGGTTGGTGATCCGGACCCAACACAAGGTTGGTGATCCGGACCCAACACAAGGTTGGTGATCCGGACCCAACCAAGGTTGGTGATCCGGACCCAACCAAGGTTGGTGATCCGGACCCAACCAAGGTTGGTGATCCGGACCCAACACAAGGTTGGTGATCCGGACCCAACACAAGGTTGGTGATCCGGACCCAACACAAGGTTGGTTCCATTGCATAAGGTGCCTGTGCAAGCGGCTTACTGTGTGCGGGTATATGGCGATGGTTATAGGAATGGAATGGGTGCACGCGTGCTGCATATGTGTCCGTCTGGCGTGAGGCACATGCTCTGTCCGCCACTCTCACCCATCTGTCCGCCACCCTCACCCATCTGTCCGCCACCCTCACCCATGTGAGCATCAGGCCATCGGAGCATGGAGGAGGAGGAGGCATACCAGCAGGGCATGGAGGATGCTCAGATTTTGGCCGCACTCGCTTATCAGCAGGTACTCTCGCTTATCAGCTGGTACTCTCGCTTATCAGCTGGTACTCTCGCTTATCAGCTGGTACTCTCGCTTATCAGCTGGTACTCTCGCTTATCAGCTGGTACTCTCTCTCTCTACACATCACCACACAACCAGTGTTTCCGTGTCTCCCGGCTGCCATGTTCCTTCTTGCTGCCATGCCCCTATGTATTGCCATGCACCTTCCGCCTGCTCCATGCATGTCATTAGTGCCATTGAACACCAAGCCAAACCTTTGCCCGAACGCACCTTCCCTAATTGTGTGCTCATGCATCTCTGTGCATCACTGCTGGGTGGGCAGGAGGCGACGGTGATCTGCCCGCTGTGCAAGGCGAGTCCCCTGCGCATGCACGGTGGCACCATTGAGTGCTCCTGCGGCCTCTTCTCCCTCCACACACACCACCACCACGTATGCCCTTGCTTCTCTTTGCTGCTCCACCTTTGCTTCCTTGTGCACCTTTCCTTCCTACTGCATGCACCATCCCTTCCCGCTGCATCTCTTCTCCATTTCCACAGCTTTCCTCCCTTTTGCCGTTCCCAATGACACATCAATCAGGCTCACCCTGTCGGAGTGCTATTGCCTACACTCACTTCCCCTCCTCTGCCCGCTTGTCGAACCAGTGAGGCACAAGAGCAGCTGCAGCAAGGCACATAGCATTATGTGCTCTTAGGTGTCGTTGTCGCCTCTCTCACTTGCACACCCCTCACCCGCCTGTGCCTGCACCCTGTGCAGCAGGAGGTGCCATTGGCAGCAACCACCCTTCTCTTTCTGGCGACTGTTTGAAGTGGTTGCAGCAAGGGACATGGCAGCATGTGCACGTAGGTGTGCCCGTCGCCTCACTCACTCTGCATCTCCCACTGCCCGCACACCCCTGTGCAGGTGAAATTGGAGCATCTGGCAGCGCGGCTGCAGGAGGTGACGTGGCAGCACGCCATGGACTGCCCTGCGCTGCCCTCCTTCACGCTCCACAGGAGCCACGGCGTCACCGCCCTCCTTGCTCACTGCTCTGCATGCCCCTTCTTTGAAATAGTGCTGTAGCTTGTCGCAGCATTACATGAAGGGGAAACAGTAGAAAGCATCAATGCAGCATCTGTACTAAAATTATTCGAGCTTAGTTTGATTTTCATGTGGGTACGACGTTGACAAAAGTCTTCCACCTCTTCAAGTCATGACCTGGGCCCATAAGGAGGCTCGATGTCCTGGTGGGTTATGGGCGCACTGACCTGCTACTTAAAAAGTTGTTTTTATCCCAGTGGGTCTAGTGGTTGGGATTCTAAGATCTAACACGTCAAATGTTGTAGTCTTAGTGATGCGTGTTATAGGGGGTACAACTGTTGACAAAGACGACGTAGACAAAGGCAAAGTCATCTTGACTTATTGCCCCACTGGTGACATGGCAGCTGACTTCCTCACCAAGAAGCTGCCACGTCAGCAGTATCATCACTGCGGAAACATCTGCGGTATAACCAAGCGCGTCAAGACTTCGCTCCTCCAGGAATGAAGGGGAGTGTTACGATATGGAATAGTTGAATAAACATTCCTGAGTAACAAACTCTTAACGCGAAGATGACTGCAGCGAGGACAAAAGACCAAGCGACGAGACAGTTATCGAGACAGTTACAAGCATGAAGAATTTGAAGTGCAAAGCGCGGGAAATGTTCAAACGGTTACCGGACCACCGCACGGTTGCAATGCTGCATCTAGATTAGCCCCAAGGTGAATGTACCCCCTCAGAGCAGGGTTCTCGTTATCAGACCAATTTGGTCTGATGGTCTGCGTTTAAGACTGGTTTTTTTGTATTCATCTTAATCCTAAGATTTTGTGTTTGTTCTCATCTGATGAGCAAGATTTGACTTTTAAGTTCGTATGATTTTTTCAGACGTGTAGAATTTTTTATCTGAGGATACAGATAGCGAGTTCGGTTTCGTCTGAAACCGACAACTTGACCCACTAGGCCATAGGCCCAGTTGACCAGAGGACAGGACCACCACAGGTACAGCCGATTGCTGCCTTGTAACTGCACGCATTCATTACGCGTGTCTTATACAGCTCTGTAACTGCCTTGTGCAGCCTCGCTGGCATGTATCTGCGGCATATGCTGCCAGGTGTTTGTCGTTTGGGTGGCTGTCGGCGCCGACGCCAGCCACAGCCACGACAACGCGCTGTCCCGTTGTGCCAGCGCATTTGCTTTTCGTAGAGGGCGCGCAACACATCACTGTGGTCGTAGTGCCCCCCGCTCCCAACACGCACCGCCTTTCGGTTCTGAGTGCAGTGCACGGTGATGAGGTTTCATGCAGCTGGGTCTGGCGTGAAAACAAGCCTGTTTCTCCTGCTCGTCCTCACCTCTCTCCCAGCCGAGCATGGATCGTTTCCCTCCCAGCGTCTGATTTCCCAGCGTGACGCTTCCCAGCGTTTAGGCTATGGCCGTCACAGCCGGCGGACCGTGCGATGGGGAGCCCGTGCTTTCCGCCCTAGACTTCCTAACGCGGGGCAAGCAGATCGCTTCTGCTGCCCCTCCGATTGCGTCGACCTCTGCTGCGGTACCTTTGCCCAACTCGGAAAATGGCGATCAACACGTGCCAGCAACGACTACCCCAACAACGCTGTTATCCCCCCCGCTCCCTGACGAATGTGCAAATAAGAGCATCCCTCCAGTGTCGGTCGCTACAACCTCTCGCAGTGCTAACCCCGTCTTGCCTGACAGATCTATGAAGAAGCGGTATAAACAGCGTGTTCTCACCGTCTGCCGTCCGGGCGGTCCGACTCAGCCAGCACCGTCAGTTCTTCCGCGCCCCGCGGAACCAGAACCTGAACCCGCGAGTGAAGACTTCGAAGACCCGAAGGGCAAGCAACTGTCGGTTGAGGAGCTTCAGTTGAAGTGCAAGCAGCAGTGGCAGCGGTATTTTCCTTGGCTCCTCATCTCCGAAAACAAGGCAGGCCGCCCGTGCATGCGCTGCAGCGTCTGCATGGTCTTCGGTGACCCGAACTACAAATACGGGCGTAACGGCGATGGCGGCATCGACATCCAGAAGCAGACGATGCGCAAGCATCACCACAGTCTGAAACACGAGGCCGCGGTCTTGAGGAAGGAGGAGCGCGACGGCGTCAAGAAAGTGCAGAAGTCAATTGCTGACTTCCACCGTGGGGACGCTGATGTCAAGCGTATTGCTCGGTTGATGGCTATCGTGCTATTCATTTGCAAGTCTGATGCTCCCATTGTTCTTTTCGTGGCTTTGGTTCAATTCATGGCAGAGCAGGGGACACCGGATTTGCCCCTGAAGGAGAACGGGACGTACTACAGCGAGTAAGTGTCCCGTTTTACTCATCTTTTTATTGTTATTTGGTTACGAGTCTAACGAGTATCAACCCGTGGTGTCTCAGGTACGGCTTCGCACAACTGGTCGAGACCATGGTGTGCTACCTCAAGTCCCGCCAGCTGAAGCACATCCGCGACAGTCCGTACCTTGGCATCCAGCTAGACGAGAGCACCGACCGACGGCGGGGGAAGCACATGATCGTCTATTTGACGCTCATGCGTGACAACGCACCCGTGACGGAGTTCTTCGCCTTGCTCAGTGTGGAGCAGTGTGACGCCGCGTCACTCACCACAGTGCTCCTGACGCATCTGGAGAGTACCGGCATCGACCTACAGCGCCTCACCGGTATGAGCACTGATGGTGCTTCCGTCATGCTTGGACAGCACAACGGAGTCACCGCGCGCCTGAAAGTCAAGGTTCCTCACCTTGTGTCGTCTCACTGCATCGCGCACAGGTAGGCGTTGTTACTGCGCGTTTCCTGCCTACTTTTTTTTTAAAAAACCCGTGCTAATGTTACCATCTGCTGTCTTGCAGGGAGGCCTTGGCGGCCAAGGATGCTGCCGCCAAGCATCCTGACTTCAGCGTCGTGGACAAGGTGGTCCGCGCCGTGGCTGAGAACCTCGGTCGTTCCTGTGTTAACCACGCCCGGTTTCAAGAGCTTCAGGAGGTCATTTGCGAGACCCAGCTTGAAGTTCAAGGCATCAAGGACGTCAGGTGGTTGTCGCGTGGTGACGCCATCCAGCGCCTGGTGAAGGTTTTTCCTGCTGCAGTCATGGTGTTGCACGAAACAAACAAGAAGATGTATCACGTCGTCACGAGCTATAAGTTCCATTTCCTGTTGTTCTTCCTTTCTGACGTCTTGAAGGAGCTCAACCTGCTAAGCCTGAAGTTTCAGCGGCGTCAGGTAAGCAGTTTCCCGAGTTACACGTGGCCGGTTTTTTCATTTACAATCTCCTACTAACCATCCTGCTTGTGCACCCCCGTTTACAGGTTGAGGCAACCCATGTGCTGCCGATGGTCCACAACACGACCTTACTGCTGCGCACACGCTACCTCGACTGCGACGACGCGATGTTTGGTCAGGGGGGAGACGCGTTGGGCCCGTTCCTCGACAAGCACGCATCTGGGGAGTTCCGCGAGGTCCTCGTTGCTGGCACTGCTTCCGACGGCACATCGGTCAGCCATCGATACCGACTGCACGAGGAGAAAATCAAGGGGCAGACGAGCGGTGTGGACCACCAAGCATGTTTGGTGCTGGCGCGCGAGTTCATCACGACCCTGGTCGGCCGGCTCAACTACCGCCTCAAGGACCTGTCAAACCTCGACGGGGCGAAGCTGTTCAAGCAGAGATTCTATCCCAAGAACCAGGCAAAGCGTGAGCGACGGCTAGGCCAATGGCTCCAGTCTCTGCGCAACATGTTCAAGCGGAAGCCAGATGACCCTGACACTATACCAGGTGCGTTAAATGCCGGGAATGAGCTGTATGTTTAGCGTTGTCTCCACATGCTTGTCTAAACACTACATGTTCCCATGTTCCCATGTTCCCATGTGCACCCCAACCGCAGGCATCAACTGGGCGAGAGCGCAGCGAGAGCTTGTCACCTTCTCTACCATCCTGGCCACACACCAAGAGGATGTCGGGTGTGCGGAGAGCCTGAAACTCATGCTGTCCTCCCCCGACTGGGCGACGTGCTACCCGAACCTCGTCCACCTGTGGATGGCTGTCGCCGTGCTTCCGCTCAGTACCGTCGAGTGCGAGCGCAGCTTCTCACGACAAAACATCATCAAGAGTTGGCTTCGCGGGAACCTGTGCGACGCGAAGCTGGGAGAGCTGATGGCTGTGTCGCTCCTTAACTACGACATGGAGTGGCCCGAGTTGCTGAGGAGGTGGAATGCTTCCAAGAAGCGAAGGCCTGCTAACGATGTGCTGATGGCGTCCGGGGAGAGACAGAGCAAGCGTGCGAGGAAGAGATCGGCCGCAGCTGCAGCAGCAACAGCTGCACTGGCAGCAGCAGAAGCAGCTGCTCGAGAAGCGGCCCTGGTAGCAGAAGCAGCAAGGATGGATGTTGAGTACCCGTGGCTTACCAGGAAAGAACGGGCCACAGTTCCCGTGGGGAGTGAGGATGGTAGTAGTGATAGCAATGAGGACTACGGCTCTAGTGAGTCTGACTAGGTCCTTAGCTACTGCCTAGGTTGTTTGATAGAATGAGTATAATTGCAGGTAGTGTTCTTGTAGGCTGACTTGGTTTTTTTTTTCGTCTAGTTTATCAGACTAGGAAAAATATTTCATCTTATACTGCAGACCACACAAATTTCGTCGTCAAAGCCTAAGACGGGGAAATTTTTTTTGAGGGTTTTGTCAGACAGGCCCTAAACCTAGCGAGAACCCTGCCTCAGAGTACATGGCTAGCTAGGACCTTTCGTATTCCACTGTATTCCTATATAAGCCCTTGTACCGCATTGTAATAGTTACTTCTATCGAGATTCAAATCTCCTTCTACTAACAAAGTCCGTAACCGACATTACCTAGCAATCTTCCGCTGCTACACTCCGTGCGATCAACCTAAGACGATCTTATAAGACGATTCAGATTATATCATGGTAGGAGAGCCACTCAGGATTATTCGCATCACCACCTCTGATTCAAATTCAAATTCAAGGTGGTGTTCGGTACGCGCTCCCGCCGAAACATGGCTTGAGGATCTGGCGGACAAGCGGCTAACACTGGCGAAGCCCCCGTCAACCCTATCGCGAGCTCCGCGGCAACCACCACCGTCAGCAATGCGCTTCTGGAGCAACTCATCCAGCGGATCTATACGCTGGAATCAGGAATTCAACAACTGAAGAATGTCAAGCCTGAAACCACTCAGCAACCCGATCAACCGGCCGCTCCAACCAAGGAACCGAGCCCAATCACCTTTGATCTCGTGTCAAATTCTGCTGCTCCAACTGTCCCTCATCCAAGTGACAAAGCCGTGCTCGCAGCTCAGAACAAGTTTCTGACTATCTCCAAGATTCGAACCAGCACCGTGTTTAGCGGGCGTGATTTCTACACCTGGAGTTTCGATCTCGAGCTACTTCTGCAAAACGCGCAAATCTTCTGCTACTTTGACGGAAGCTACGCTGGCCCCACCAGCGACACTGACGACGCAAAGTCTCAATATTACAACGAGTCACTCATGGCATATAGCGTCCTGCTTCGCAACATGGCGCCGACTAAACAACTCGGCATTCGCCCATACAAAACTCACCAAGCTCCCGACATGGCCGCCTGGAACTACCTCAACAAAACCTACGAGCCCAAGGACTCCGTGTCCTCCAGCCGCTTGCTCCAGCAACTCATGGAATTCAAAATGGCGCCTGGCGAGAAAGCAAACTCCTACATCAATCGCTGCCGAAGCGTCCGCGATCAACTTCTGAAGCTCGGAAACACCATCTCCGAGGACATGTTCGTCACCATCGTGCTTCGAGGGCTGGGACCACACTGGAATCCCTGTAAGGCGCTTCTTTGCCAACAAGGGATCATTTCCGAAGCACACCTCTGCGCTACGCTCCTACATGAGCGAGACATGGACTTCAACCAAGAAAAGGGAGCGCGCCGCGAACAAATCGCCTTTTATTCCAATCGCGACCAACGGAGGAATCGCGACACGTGGCCACGACAATACTACTGCAAGAACTGCAAAGCCTTCGGTCACTCCACCGAACGATGCCGATCCAGACCACGACACGACTCCGCGCCGCGCAACAACTCTGCCTATGGTCCCGACCACATGCGCCAGGCAAACCGACCGTCCTCGGACCATCGGTCTGCCCCGCGCCCGTCGCCACAGTCTGACATCCAACGTGCACCAAAAAACAACAATACAGTTCGCCATGTCATGGGCAACATGGCGATGCGCATTCCTCGTCGCACTCGCCGCACCAATCGGCGACATCTGCGATATGTCTCTCCTCCCCCACCAGGAAACGAGGTCCAATTTAACGGCTACAACAACCCGTTTACGCAAGATGGAGAATTCGTCTCCGACGAATACGAACAAGACTGGGACTTGCCGATACCTCTGCTGGAGTCGCCGCCGCAAGACGAATACTTCCTCAATTCGCCATCAATCACCAGCTATTTCTACGGTCACCGTATCGACACTCGCCCCGTGGACAACTACCGTGCTGCTGGTGATCGGCGCATTCCGTTCCGCAACACACAAAATCTAGCACTCTCGGCCCCCCTTTCCGCACCAACTCCCACAACACATGGTACATCGACAGCTGCTGCGGGCAGCACATGGTGGGGTCCAAGCGCTACATCTCCAATGCCAGCGCCATCCCGCAACCCACAATCGTCACGGTGGCCAACAATCAGCAGCTCCAAGCACGAGCATGCGGTATCGTCGTTCTCAAAGCACACGACAGCGACATTCATATCACGCTCAACGACGTTCTTATCGTACGTGACCTCCAATACAATCTCCTGTCCTACAATCAACTCTTGCAAAGTGGAGTGCTCATGACGACTGACCTTGATTCGCACGACATCCTCATGCACTGGAAAGGCTACAACACCTTCAATAGCGAACCGCGCTAAATCGGCAGAGCCCATTCCAAAGACGGCGTTTACATACTCGACTTCGACATCCCAGACTGCAGCGCTGACTCATGGGATCTCATCGACCTACAACCCCAAGACATCGTGTGGAATCGCAAACCCACGCACCCAGAGGGTCGCCCTTGGATCAAGCATCACGCTCACCCAAGAGCGATCGATCTGCACGCACCTGGACCTGATGGTCTTTGCCGCAACTGCGGCACCCCAACAGCCTCCTCAACAGACAGAACAGACGGGACTCCTCCTCCTCCACGCCGCGACGAAGGAGAATCCTCTGCTGCAGCAGCGCGACGTCTCGTAGCCACAGCAGCACAAGAGGAAGCTGGACCAATCACTCAGCCCCCAGGCATGGACATTGTTGAGGAAGCAGAGTGGCAAACCCCTCACCCAACTGGGATGCGCGACGGAGAGCTCGCTGCAGCACTCACCATATTTCAGCCGCGTAAATCACGCACTGACCCCACAGTTCACGATCGCCTTGATCTCCTCACACGATACATGACGGTGACAACAACCCTCTCCCAATGACCTGGGAAACCTACCACGTCCAACACCCCTGGTCCCGTCGCACCATGACCACCGAGGAGTTTCAACGACATGAAGAAGAAGAAAGGCGTCGCAGGGCGGACGAAGAAGCAAAAGTGGCTGCAGTTGCAACAGCTGGAGGATGGGGAAGCGGAACTGGAGCAGCAGCATGGGGAAGCGGAACCAGCGCACCAGGATGGGGGGAGCATACACCGCCAACAATGGAGGAAGAAGAACCCATCGAGGAAGTCATCGCCCGCGCTGAACAAGAAGCAACAGCAGAGGCAAGGGGACCATATGGTTCACTACGTCCCCTTGGCATCCCCCCAGGCACCGCACCACAAACTGACTCCTGGGGATCTCTTACCATTCCTTAACACTCCTCCCCAGACTCCACAGACTCCCGACCCCCCACAGACCGTGACACCATACTGCCCTACCGCACTTATCCCCACAGCCCACTCCACACTGAGTCCACCCCCATCGGTCCCTCAGACTCACCTGCTCCAAGCCCTCCAGCGATTTTTGCCTTCCCACCTCACTGCATGCCACGTCCTGACCAGAAGACATAGTAGACACGGATGATGGCCCAACACCTCTCGCTACCATCACAACAATCACTCCAACTCCCATAGCCCGCAAACTAATTCTTGCCTTTGGACTCTCCATCTCACCACAGCCCATCCCACAGCCCACAGACCGTTCCACTGCCGACCTCATCGCCTTCTACACACGCTCACCTGCCCTGCGTACTCAGCCTGACTTTTGGCACAAACGCCTCAGTCACCCCTCTCAGGAAGTACTCAACAACTGCATTCGCGGACAAGATTTTTTTCCAGGCACTCTCCTCCGCCCAGATGGCACTCCAGTTCCCATCAACACCACTTGCCGCACTGACTGGGACATCTGCCTTGAAGCAGCTTTCACACACCAGCCCTTCAAACTCCTTGAACCAGGGACCAACCGCTACAAAAAGACTTGAGAATGTCTACAGCGACTTTCTCGTGCTCACCAAAACAGGTCTCAACGGCGAAGAATACACTTTCACCTTCATCAACGCTCACTCCCGCTTCATCTGGGTGGCCAACGTCTCACACAGGAGCAAGGCGTATGACATCTTCAAGGTCTGGCATGCCAATGCGGAGACCCAATCCGGCTGCACCCTAAAGATCTGGCAGACTGATTGCGCAACCGAATTCAAGAGCGACAAAATGCAAGCATACATGGAGGACAAGGGCATCGTCCACAAGCTCTCCCTTCCCTACGCACACCACCAGCAAGGAGTCGCGGAATGCACCAACCGCACCCTCATGACCAAGTTTCGCGCCCTTTTGCAGCAGAGCGACGTCGACGCGAAGTACTAGCCTTACGCCATGCATCACACTGTCCGTTTGCACAACCTGCTCAGCACCATTGCCAACACCGACAACCTCTCGCCTCACCTCAAATTCACCGGCGAGCAAGGTGACGTCTCCATGCTCCGCGTCTGGGGGTGCATGGTGCAGTACCGCCCTGCAGCAACAACCACGTGGAAGTTCGAACGTCGCGCCCGCTGGGGTGTGCACCTCGGCATCAGCTTCGAACACCATGCCTGGAACATCCTCGGCCATGACACCTCACAAATCGTCGCGGTGCGCGACGTCATCTTCTACGAAGATCTCTCCATCCGCCAGTTTCAGTGCGACCGACATGCTGATCGTGTCCACAGCGAACGCAACATCGCGGAATACGAGCGCCCGCCTTGCAGCTTCGCTACACCTGAAGACGAAGCCGCGGCAGCCCTCGCGGACTGGGATCCCACTGATCCCCACCCTGGCCCTCGCCCCTGGAGCGACGACGACGAAGACGAGGACAGAGCTCCTCTCAACTCCTCCTCGTGACTCTCTCCTCAGTCCCACACCCACCACCGGCAACAACTCTGATGACGACGTGGTGGAAGTCACCAGCGACCAGCGCCACAGCCCCGGGATTTCCGGCCTGCACATCCTCGGCCTCCACACCGCTGTGTCTCGCCCGCCCAAAGCCGTTGAACCCAAAACCCCGCGTCAAGCTCTCACCGGCCCCTACGCAAAGGAGTGGTGAGCTGCGATGGACGCTGAAGTCGAAGCGCTAGAAGCTCGTGATACCTGGTCCTCGCTGACCGAGCTGCCTTGAAGGGGAGACGCGTCCTCTCGGGGAAATGGGTCTTCCGTGTCAAAACCACCGCCGACGGCACTATCGAACGTTTCAAGGCCCGTTGGGTTGTTCGCGGGTTTGACCAACGACACAGCGTTGACTTTAATCAAACCTTCGCCCCTGTCAGCAGACACACCTCCGTTCGCATCCTCTTCGCCATCGCAGCAACAAAGCATCTCCCCCTCCATCAAATCGACTTAAAAAACGCTTTCCTCTACGCCCCCATGGATGCCCTCATCTTCGTCGAGCAACCTCGCACCTACGGCGACGGAAACGATCGCTTGTGTCAGCTCCACAAATTGCTCTACGGCATCAAACTGGCGCCACGCCTCTGGCAATAGTACCTCCACCAAATTCTGCTCGACATCGGTTTCATCCAGCTGCCTCACGACCCTGGCATGTACCGTCTTCACTACCGCGGGGACTACATCCTCCTCACGGCATACGTTGACGATCTCCTCTACACCGGCACCAGCACCGACCTCCTCGCTCAGTTTGAGAAGAACCTTAGCAACTGCGTCGAAATCACCAGCGCCGACCAAGTCATCCAGTTCCTGGGTCTCAACATCTCCTACTCTGCTGACGCCATTCACCTCTCCGCCTCCAAGTACGTTGAGACACTCGCAACCAAGTTCAATATCAACCTCTCGACTCCTTACCGCAACCCGGCCACCCCGCATCTTCTCAACACCACCCATCTCAACCCATCTGGTCATCAGTTGTACCAGCAACAACTCGGCTGTCTGCTCTTTGCCGCAATCACCTGCACGCCAGACTTGTCCTACATCTCGAGCGAACTCACTCAGTATGCCAAGCGGCCTGAATGGGAGCACATGCTGGATTTACAGCGCACTCTGCAGTACTTCATCTCCACACCGCACATTGGCCTAACCTACTCAACTCTCACGACCCGCTCCTTCAACCTCGTTGGCTACGTGGACGCAGATCACACCGCCGACCCTGCAAATCGACGGTCTCGAACCAGATTCCTCTTTTGTCTCGAGCCCACTGGCTCAATTTCCTGGAATTCGCAGAAGCAAGAAATGGTGGCGCTCTCCTCCGCTGAAGGCGAATTCATCGCCGCCACGTCAGCCGTTCACGAAGGCCTTTACCTTCAGGAGCTGCTCTAAGAGGCAAATATCGCGACATCCGCAAGCTTCAAACTTCATTGCGACAACCAAAGCGCCATAAGAACCGCGAACAAGCCTGGCTTCGTCAACCGCATCTAGCACATCGCACTCCGCTACTTCTTCGTCAAAGATGAAGTTGACAAAGGCAAAGTCATCTTGACTTATTACCCCACTGGTGACATGGCAGCTGACTTCCTCACCAAGAAGCTGCCACGTCAGCAGTATCATCAGGAGCGGAAACATCTGCGATATAACCAAGCGCGTCAAGACCTCGCTCCTCCAGGAATGAATGGGAGTGTTACGATATGGAATAGTTGAATAAACATTCCTGTGTAACAAACTCTTAACGCGAAGATGACTGCAGCAAGGACGAAAGACCAAGCGACGAGACAGTTATCGAGGCAGTTACAAGCGAGAAGAATTTGAAGTGCAAAGCGCGGGAAATGTTCAAACGGTTACCGGACCACGTACGGTTGCCGAACCGCATGGTTGCAATGCTGCATGTAGATTAGCCCTAAGCGGAATGTACCCCCTCAGAGTACATGGCTAGCTAGTGATAAAAAACGAGGAATGAATGAACTAGCACAAGGTTGGGTACAAGTACTAAACCCTAGGAAACTGTACCCCATAGTGTCTACCCCACTATAGCCTAGACAAGCTATATGATATGAGTTTGACAGCTAGGACCTTTCCTATTCCACTGTATTCCTAGATAAACCCTTGTACCGCATTGTAATAGTTACTTCTGTCGAGATTCAAATCTCCTTCTACTGATAGAGTCCGTACCCGACATTACCTAGCAATCTTCCGCTGCTACACTTCGTGCGATCAACCTGAGATGATCCAATAAGACGGTTCAGATTGTATCATATAGCACCTCTCGCGCTCGTCTCTCACGTGCCCTAGCGCCTGCTGCGCCGCCCGTACCGTCCCGTAGTAGCTCTCGGGCTCATCTCTCACGTGCCCTAGCGCCTGCTGCGCCGCCCGTCCCGTCCCGCTCCTTCTGTCCCTCGTGTCCCGCGCGTCCCGTCCCCCCCGTCCCGCACGTCTCGTTCCCCTCGTCCCGCTCGTCTCGTCCCCCCCCCCGTCCCGCGCGTCCCTTCCCCCCCCGTCCCGCGCGCCCCGTGCGTCCCGTCCCACGTGTCCCGCGTGTTCCGTCGCCCGCGTCCCGTGCGTCCCGTCCCCCGCGTCCCGCGCGTCCCGTTCCGCGCGTCCCGTCGCACGCGTCCCGTGCGTCCCGTCCCGCGCGTCCCGCGCGCCCCGTCGCACGCGCCCTATGCGTCTCGTCCCGCGCGTCCCGGCCGTCGCGCCCCCGCTGCGCCCTGCCCGTCTGTCGCGCCCCCGCTGCGCCCTGCCCGTCCGTCGCGTCCCCCCTGCGCCCTGCCCGTCCGTCGCGCTCCGTGCGCCTTGCCCGTCCGTCGTGCCCTCGTTCCGCCCTGCCCGTCCGTCGTGCCTCGTGCGCCCTGTCCGTCCGCACCTATCCGTCTGTCCCTGCCAGTCGTGTCGTGTACCGGCGCGTCGCACTGCCTGTCGCGTTTAGGGTTTCGGCTATATCGTTCCCATCTCTTCGCTTCCTCTATGGCGACCCCCAGGGTCTTGCGCTTTGACGCTGAGGGTAGGCCGCTTGAGTTGCCCGTCTGGCTCCAACGTGCGCGCCGCCTTTTAGAGAGTCAAGTTCAGGCGGATGTGTCTCTGTGATCGCACGCTTCCGGCGACATTCCTCAGCCCGTCGATCCTGCACCTTTAGGCGTAGACCCTAGCTCTACAGACAGGGACCGTCACGCTCGCCAGCGTGCTGACCTCATAGCATGGACGTCGCGTGAAGCAGCGACCTGCGTCGCCCTTAGCAGCCTCCTCCTTGAGTCTGAGGAGACTCACTTCACTCAGGTTCGCACGGCTAGTGAGTTCCTGACTGCGATCAAGGCCCGGTACGCCACTCCCACCACTGTCTCTCTAGGTCGCCTGTTCCTCCCGTTCCTGTTTCCTGACCTCGCCTCGTTTGAGCGCTCTGCTGACTTGATCGCTCACCTGCATTCACTAGATTCTAGCTACCGCGCTGCTTGCACTGCTCCCTCCACCCATGGCGATTACTATCTATTTCATTGCCACTAGCCTCCCTGACCGCCTTGCCTCGGTTCGTGACGCGCTTCTTCTGAAGCACCCTAGCGAGCTCACTATCGAGGTCCTTGAGTCGGTCTCCAAGGACGTCAAGAGCAACCTCCACTCGGTAGCCTCTGCCTCTGGTGTTGTGCCCCCTCCACTATTTCACGGGTGCACTGTCCCTCAACTGCCCACCTTTACTACCTCCCTCGCCACTGCCGCTACTGATATGACCGCAGCTGCTGTTACGACTTCCTCGCAGTA